TTTTCACAGACTGTTAGAAAGAAGCAGGTGAGCCTGGTCAGGCCCATCATCTTCAGGCTCAATTTGTAAGATCATTGTTTAAAAAAAAAAAGGTCAGAAAACGGATAAAGCATTCTCACCTTAGTAATCTGCCCTGAAGTTGAGCTAGCCTTGCTTTTCTAATTGATCTCGCAACAGGGCAGAGAAACAGTAATTTACTTCTACTACTAAAACGTTGTAGCCTATTTCCCTTTTGGTTTTGCAAATGCTCACTCCAGCTACGAGATATTATTATGACTTTGACTGCAAGATGAAAGGACCCTAAAATGCTTCTCCTAGAAAGCCACTGAGAGAGTAGGACCTGGCTGCCTCCTAACTGTTACACGTGCTGCTTCCTAACACGGCCTTGTGACTCCCCACACGACGGGTTCAAATACGAATACAAGCGTCAAGGCTCTCTGAACAGCCTGAATGCAACAAGGACAGCCCCAAACTATCTCTGTCTGTAAGATTAGGGAAATGCTGTTGTTTGTTCTGAAAGCCTTTGCCCTTGTATACAAGTACACTCTGCTCCCTTTCTGAGACTCGAAGTTAACAGAGACATGCCTGTGGGATGACTTCCCCTCTGTTTACATACTTACCCCTTTACCCCGTTAGTCAGTGTTCCTTTCTGAAGCTATAACCTTTGGTAAGGTCTAGGATCTGCCTGAGCTTTCTACATCTGTGATGGACTACAGATTGCTTCTGACAGTCCAAAATAGCTTAGGAAAGGGCAGAGACGTTTTCCCGGAGGCCTCCCCATTGCACAGGGATGTAGCTACTGCTATAGCCTCCTGCCTTAGTGGGTGAGTTTGAGGAGGGGGCTTCAAGGGGCACCACCACAGCAGGTGCCAGAGTGCTGCTGGAGCTGGGCCAGGCTCCCTCCCCGCCACCAGGACACAGAACGAGGGAGCAAGAAGCAGATGCTCCTCTCCTTGGAGCTCTCCAAGCCGGCACTGCCACTCAGAGAAAGGCCGGTCATACCTTTGCCTCAGGCTACATCCGCAGACTTTCCTGAATGGTTTAGGAGCACAACCCCCTTTGCTATCAATGGATGACATTTTCCTAGAGGCCCATGCTCCTGCATCAATAAGAAGTATCTGAAATACCTCATTTCAGAAAAAAACGTAACAAGAACTTACTTAGTCTTGCACAAGAACGGGGACTCTACAGACACCTCTCAGCCCCTGCAACTTCATGAAGGCACTGAAGAGAAATATTCTTGGATGCGGACCTGCAGCAAAAGACAAGACTCATCCAGACGCTCTCACCAACTCAACTGGCTTTGGATTGGATCCACATGTGAAAAAAATATGCTCTGTGTTCTTCACAACATAGAGAACTATAGCAAGAGAGATTTCTAATTACACAAAGTTGGGTTATAACAAAGAGACGCTGAGATGCCCAAGCACTTACTGTTCCTTTCCCCAAACAGTCAGAAGCAAGTCAAAAAACTGTTCTCAGAGGCGCAGACCCATCATACCTTCAGCAAACACCCCCACATACCTGTTTCCTCAGCATAAAATTAAAACAAGCAGACGAATATTTTTTCCTCTACTGTTTGCTTTCTATTTACTTTCTGTTGCTACCTTTGTAGAACTCACTTATTTTTCATCCACTGCCTGGTCTTTCCAGAGCCCAAGGAGCTGCTCCACGTAGCTCTCCACATGCAGCTGGCAGTCGTGGCATGAACAGGCAGAAGGTCATGAACAGAAACTGGAGCTCCCAGCTGGGACCAGAATTTGGACTGCGATGGAATGTACCATCTCAGTTGTTCTTTCAGCAGACATTTGAGGAAATGGAGCTGTAAGTTGTCCTTTTATGAGTTGTTTATTACTGCTATTATTCAAAATTTCTTTATTACCAACATTTCTCCACTGATTATCCCTGGAAAGCAAAATACTAAGAGGTCACTGAAAGACTCAAACTCACTTTTGAAGGCGAACAAATTGTTACAGGGATTTATTCACACAATTCCCAGCAGAAAAAAAAAAAAAAAAAAATATATATATAAGCAACCTATTTTAAAAAACTCCCTAAATGCACACGCATAAAATACCAAGTAATTCAAACCTTAATCCTGTTTCCTCACTGTTAGTAGTATCACTTTTTGTGCTGAAAACAGCAACCTCCTCCCTCTGAGCAAAGATCAAGGACTAGAGATTTTCACACTCTGGGCACTGCAAGCACCATAAATAACAATTTATTGAATGAATCTCACTTCACTAGGCCTGACTTTTCCAAATTTGTATGATGTGTGAAATCTTTTACTGCTTAGAGACCTGTTAAGCACACAGCCACAAAAGCTGTTTAAAGCCATTGCATCTCATTGTTTGAAGCCTGAACTTCAGCAACATTTCTTTCTAAGCTAGTTTTTGGGTACACACAGAAATCAAACCCTTGTAAAATCCTTTTAATTTCCTGCTCTGGTTCTTTGGGCCCATAGACCCGACCTGTAAGATATTTCACTACTGTTTTTTTTTTCCCCATGTTACTGGTAAACTCCTTCAGTTTCAACTGTGGCGCCCATAAACAAAATTCATATCAGACAAGCCAAAGGCTCCAAGACAGACAGTTATTAGCTCAAAGCTGGAGTGTTTCATTTTAGACTTCATCCCCATTTAAACCATGAAAACCTCAGTGAATATTGAATTTAAATCCACTTCTTACCGTCGCTTTCTCCAGGCCTTTGTTAACGGACTCAGTTTATTTTTTACAGAACTGTTTACTCCCCGGGCTGAGAGGGAGCCACACTGCAACAGGGCAAGAAATCATCTCTGTCCAGAAGGGCTCAGAATCCCAGACAGAGCAGACACAAGAGAGGAAAAGGGGGAAAAAAAAGAGGAGCTACGTTTCCTGCATGTGTCACACCGCTGATCAATGAGTTCAGGAAGAAAACTCCTGAGTCTTAATCCAAGGCACAACCTACCACATCACATTACATCATACTCCTTCTTTAATAAAATAATCACAATAAGATAGCTTTTTACATGCAGACTGGCACACTTACAGTTGCAAGACTGCTCATCAGATGCTGCTGCCTGGCTTCTCTCCCTCCTCCCAAACCTTGCAGGCCTCTGATCTGTCTCCTTTCTCAAAGTACCTAAAAGCCCCTAGCAGATGTCTCTTAGAACAGAAAGAGGAATTCACTGGAAAATGTTCTCAGGGGGAAGGAGGCAAACATATCCAAACAATGCTGAAAGCACCTTTATCATTCCTGGTCCCTGTTGGTCCTGGCGCGCTGCTTCTGCAGGCCAAAAGCACAGCGGCGGCTCTGTGTCTGGGCAGGCTCCCCGCTAACCCCCGTCTCTGGGGCCGGCCGGTCTGAGGCAGCTTCCAGGAAGAGGCTGTGGCTGTTCCAAGGAAAAGCTTTCTGCTTCAGGCCTCACCACTGCAGGATGCTCCTTCCACAAGCCATCCCCACAGGCAGGGCTCTGCATACTTTGCCAACCGGGAACGGGGAAGCGTGGCAGCAGCTGGCAGTGCCTCAGCACAGCCCTCATCCTCTCCGTACCGCTCCTGCGCTTTTCCACCCAAACCACTGTGCCATCTGCAGGGACACAGAACTGGGTCCTTCGGACTCATTATGAGTTAGAAGTCTGACCTGTGGTGATTCTGCTAAATGAACACTTATACAGAAATAGGCAAAAGGCCGCAATTAAGAACGCCATAGAAACACAACCTGAAGGAAAACATCACCACCATTTTCAAAAACCTGTCCCAAAACCCCTGGGAGTGACTCATACATCTTCTCAAGTACTGGAGAAACCCTTGCCTAGCTGCACAATTCTCGCTGGAATTCTGTGAAATTAAGTCATTCCAAATGGTCAATCAAACTAAGAGTTGCTGACAGGGGAAGAGATCAAATTAAATGTTCCTGTTGCTCTAGATGACAAGAAAGACTGCTAAGGAAGTCATTCTATAGCCTGAAAAGGGTCCACAGCTTTAAGAAATTCTCCCCTAAAGGTTGTAAAGCTTTTACTATGCAAAGTATTTTTGCTATTGTGTACACTGGCAGCCACTAAGTGCAGCTATTATTTCTGGCGGTAATTCAGAGAAGGATGGGGCTGATAAAGCATTTAACAAAGTCTGCTTGGGTCAATCCATCTGTTTTTAACCATCCATACAGTCCTCCGAGTCCTTTTAAAGGAGGCTGGATATTCCTGAGTGTAATACATTAATATCTTTTCTTTACTATCTTTTATTATTTATGATGCCCAGCAAAGAATGTCATCTTTAAAATGTCCACGTGGTTCTGTGCGGATTGCACACAGAAGGGTTGATTCCCAGCTGCAGCAGCTCCGCGCAAGGCTGGGACCCGCGCTGCTCCCTCCCTGCGCCACGGGAGAAGAGAGCCCGCACAGAGCAGAGACATAAGAGCTCTGCTGAAGAAACCCAATGTGGAGCTATGGAAAGGAAATGTTTTCAGGTCACATGAGCACCAGGAAAAATAACCTGACTAGCTGGGACGGACCACATCAGCATTCTCAACATTCACACTGCACAGGTTTGGTTACTGAAGGATTTCAAACCCAGCTCTACTGGCGACTCTCTAAGCTGCATGGAGCAAATCAGGGTGCAAGTTCTGACCTACAAGGTACCAACAGCCATGAGGGGGAACATGTCAGTGACAACCTCTGCTCACAAGAGCTCTGTTCCAAAACAGAAATGAAATACCAATAGGACTATATTGCTTCCAAACAGTGTGCAAGCATATGTAGCTATGATGAATATGTAATAGATAACTACTGGCCTCCCCATTTTACAAAAAGCAGTAAGTCAGGACAAGTGGCTTGCAGCTACTGACAGCTGCAGAATGTTACTCACCTGATACAAATAACTGTCGATAAAAAAAATATTCAAATTCAGCAGTGAGACACTCCCATTCAAAAATGCTTTTGGCCATTTCCTAAAACCTTTTGTTTCAGGAGACAGTACTGTCCTGAGCAACATGTGATGGCTCAGGTCTCTTTATCACTTACCTGAGCTTATCCGCTACAAAAATCACGCGCCGCTCCAAGAGGAGAGAAGCAAATATCCTGATGATCTGCCGCACGCTGAGGCACTTGAAGAGACACTCGAAGTCCACGTGCTCGAGGCGCGAGTCCGTGGGCCGCCGCAGCTCGATCACCTGTGCACAGTCAAGGACAGGCAGTCAGCCTCCCTGGTGGGGCTGCAGCGCTCGGGGCTGCCCGGCCCCTGCCCGCCGCTCTGTCCCCTTGCAGGACAGGGGAAATGGAGAAGCTCCAGCCCCTGCAAATCAAGGTTGAAGCCACAGCACCCAGATGTATTGCACATTGCTATAAAGTCAGTCTTCTTCCCAGAATCTAATGATGTGCATTCATTCCACCATCATTTCCTAGGAAGGCATAATTCTGACTTCTAGCGACCCTGCCCGAGCTGTACAACTTGGCTGAGCCGACAGTGTGAAGCAAGTAACAAACTGGAAGCAGAGGGAGAGGGAGCCTACAAGCATGAAAGCGGAGGGCACCCTCTTCACCAGCTAACCTGATACCAGTTAGCTGGAGTTTAAACAGCCACGAAGGCAATGTAAAGTCGGTATTAACTTGGCTAATGATTCAAACACACACGTAGAGGCGAGTTACAGACTACATTTAAGTGCTGAGCAAAACTTAAACCCAATTTACCTTATTTTTCACTGCCTTATTAAGTGTAATTTATTGTCTAATGCCTAAAGCCTTTTTTTTTTGTCATACAGGTATATACATATATATATACTTAACTGGGGAGTCAGGACAAGGTCTTAGATGGTGACTTCTGACATCCCTTTAAAGTATAATTTCACACTTCATCCATGACCTCAGGCCCTCTCCTTCCTTTTCTCAAATGCCTTTCACTTGATTCCTTTATTACATCTTCCTTTTACTCTGCATTTGACATGTTCAGATGTGGAACTTGAAGGCGGAGGACAGAAAAAAAGAGAAGAGGGAAAATAACATGAAGAAGAGAATAACAGAGGAAGAAATATATGAAGTGTAAGACAGTAATGATGAACTACTGAGGAATTTGAGGAAATAGAGGGGAAAAGGAAAAAGTTGGCCAATTTGAAGCTGTGTTGAAATCTCCAAAGACATATTAACAGTAACATATACACGTCTCCTCCTTTCCATATGTCCAAAAATCATCATCACTTTATTGCTTTAAACCCCTTCTATGCTTTCATGCAAATGACATTGCATTCCTCTAATATACTGCATTAGGTTTAAACTTGAGCAGCCCTCACAAAATTCCTCATAAACACAATGTTTTAAGGCCATAATCCACAGCAAGAGCACAGGATACTGGAAACCAAACCAGTTTATACCAGTTAATTGTAATACAGTTTTGTGATCAGTGACACAGAACTGTAAAATAGTAATACACAGATTAGCTTTTTAGTAGTCAGAAAAAAGCCTAAAACGCATGAACAACACGTGACCAGAGCATTTTATACTGGTCACCCTCCAACCTCCTGCTGTTGCTCCGAACAGCCATACGGACCGAGTTGTGGATCGACGGCAACCCATCCATTTGCACATCTCCGAGGAATGTGGCCTGCTCTCTCCCCGACTCAGAGAGGTGCCCACTCCCCTTCCTTAGCAGTGTGATTGAAAGCTCAAATTGTATTTATGTGCCGAATCGTAAGGAGCTAGTTTTGTTGCAAAATTCCCAACACTGAAATCTTGCCGCGGGGAAGGATGCATTGCAAGTTACAGCAGTTTTTACAAATGCCATAGATGTTTTGCGGTGCTTGGCAAAGCTTTTTGCTTCAGTTTGCTCTTAACAAAGAAATACACTGTCTACTTCCCAATTAATCATCATCTTTGTTTAGGCCAGAGGAGCCACAATGGAAGGACAAGACTCTGTTCCTAATTAAGCCAGTGCATTCCATCTAAATAACGAGTTTGTACTAGCATAACAGAGAGCAAAGTTGAGCCAAAGTAGGGTTGTTTGTTTGTTTGAAATTATCTCAATATTTTTCTCTGGGAGAGTTCAGATGCTTGAGCTGAGGATAGAGAAGTTGCAGATCCATGGTTCCCAGATAGAGTCACATCAAAAAAGCACTACCACATCTTTCCACCATTACTTATACCATACAGTTGACACAGGAAACCAAGGCTGATGCTAGTTTTTGTCTCTGTGATAACGCTCGGCAACACTACAGCTCTTACTAGGACAGACTTAGCGGTTCCTACTTGTTCTGTTAGCTAAGCTAGGCTAAACATAATACGGACTTCTTTTAAAACATAGTTTGCAAATAAAGATAAAACAACAAATATATTAATATCAATCAATTTATAATCATCAGTGGGAATTAGCATTACTGAATTAACACAGGGGCAGCTCTTGCACTGCTCTTTTTTGAGGATGTACTACTTCACATGACTTGTAGCACCTGTATGTCTCCAGCTTCTCTTTCACTGTTTATTATTGGAGTTATGAATAAGAAGGCTTCAACTTTTAATGTTTGCAGTTGTTTTTTACCTCATTTCCAGCTCCAGGCAGGAACGTTTTGACTTTGATTGTCTTTCCAGGTGCAGGGAAAGGAGATTCCATCAGACTCCTCATAAATGGATAAACCAAGGCAGCAGATATACCCCTTCTCCTTTCAACCTCATCCAGGATCTGATCCATTAGTCAGAGAGAGAAAACATGTCAGCACAACGTACACATCCGAGGCACCCTCTGTCCCATGTGTGTCTGTGCACATGGCAAATCTGAGTTTAATTCTCCTCTGCCATGCACTCCTTCACTACCATCACAGCCACGGGATTTGACCCTACCCCGAAAATGATCCATCTTCCATTTAGAAAATGAAGCTCTTCCTGGAATGCAGCTAAACAGAGAGACAAAGAAGAAACAACACATTTGTAAAGGAGAGATAAGACTCTACATGGTAAAAAGGGATCAGTAGTGGAATTTGGCCTGAACAACAGTCAACTGGAGAAGAAAGAGATCAAGACAAATCCCATGATTACAGGCCACATGAGTGTCAGGCCCCAGCTGCAAACCTGAGATCAGCATAAGGAGAAACACTTTTTTCCATGCTGGGCATCTCCAGGCTTACCAACGTTCAAGTTAGATGACAAAGCAGCATCAACAAAGCTGCAGCTCTTTCAGTTCAGAGGGCAGGAAAATGCCAGTGCAGCAGGAACAACAACCCTACCACACTCTGCCTTTCACTTTACCAGGAAAGATCTGGAGGAAACCTGGCCAAGATCACTTTGGAGTCTCTGTGGTAAACTGGAGGCAGCCATGAGCAGGCTCTTGAAGCGTGCCCAGCTGTTTACACTGGATGCCTGCATCAAGGTCATTTGCTGTTTGACATGACGCAGAGCAGGCAATCTAGTTTTAAAATGAGCAAATGGAACTTCTTACAGATAGAAAGGATTTTTTTTTCTTCTCTCTATGCTCACATGGGCCAACATAAATTAGATCACAGCTAAGTTTTCCCACATTAGACAGACCATATAGATGATAAACCTAAAGAAGAAGTAAAAAGCAATCTTCAAAGCAGTTAGCGGTTTGACCTGAAAGAGTGATCTTTTAACCACCACTCAAGAGCAAAAAGCCATACAAGAGTTAGTGGGTCTGAGCCAAGCATTTTCCCTTTTTTCTCTTGGAAGTGCTTTTCATTGAAACAAAATATGAAAAGGCTCTTAAGCACAAGCTGGTGAATTACAATGGAAGCTAATGACACAAAATGCCAGCAGAGGCATTTACTGGTGCACAGCTTCCCTTTCCTCCCTGCAACATAGGAAAGGCCTAACTCTGAAACATACCTGCGTACATACACATAGTTTGCATTCTAGTTAGTGCAAATGCAGATGACCATAAAGGAATATATGGATTTCATTCTTAATGGAACTTGCAGAGCAACATGCAAGTTGCATCTAATCAAACAAAATGTCCTAATGTCAAGTAGCTAGCAATGAATCAAGGCTGTGCCTGGGGTTCCTCAGTCCTCCTGCCAGTCTGCCCTTGTTACACTCCCACCATACACCTCCCTTGTAGCCACAGGTGACGTTTTAAGTTGTTGACATTGGAGGCTTTGTTTTGAAACATTCAAAGAAAAGCTCTTTGTGAAAGGGATTGTGTCACCTCATGTGTGAGATATCCCAGTCCTAATATACTTCACAATATAAATAAAAGGCATCTGAGGTGAACGAATGATACCCAGGTGAACTGGCAGGGTCTGGAACGAGAACAGCCACGGCTCCCAAGTTTGCTTTAGCAGGGAGAAGAGCATAGGCCCCTGACAGGCCTGCTCAGGGCCCAACATAGACATTGTGGGAGCCCTCCTGTCTGCAGCAAGATGAGGAACTTCAGGCCTGAGCACTGCTGTGTCTCCAGGGCCTGCCTGCTCCATCTCCTCTCCTCCCCACCGAGACACAGCCCCTCCTGCAGCCAGGGAAATCACACTGAGCCATCAGGCACTGATTTGCTTGGACTGGATGATCAGACTCTCTCATTCACATTATGGATACAACTGGGAAAACAGATTATTTCCCATTCTGGCCTGTTACTGTTCTTTGTTGTCTGCTGCTGGCTTTATATCCCAGCTGCTTATAACCAGCTGATTATAGGCAGGATACTTGCATTTCCAGTTTTCATATTTTCTGTTTTATGTTTTTCCCTCTCCCAATTTTTCCATGGGAAATGAGGCCAAAATTAAGATAAAAACATCAGAGCAACTGAAGAGCCTCAGGACTTCTCTCCATATCATTAGCTTCCAAGATCATCATTTCTGTGAGCTATGCATCATGCCCAGAACAACGCATTCTGCTTCACTCACAGATATCTGGGTTTAGATACATATTATGTCTAAGAGTCACTGCCATAAATCCTCCGTTTCAGAGCTTTGTGAAAGCCATCAGAAGCAGAACTGCAATTAACTATTTCAGCCTAATTGTTCTTCTTCAGAAAAGAATTGTGTTAAACAAAGTTTTATTTAGGAAATCTTGAAATTTGCTTCTATGAAGGATAACATCAGAATGGCTATTAAATCATAAGGCTGATACAAATATCACCATTTTTACTAAGTGATTTACATAATTGTTTCAGCTTTATTTTTATATAAATGAACAAGAACAATCTCTGTTTAAATTTTATGAGATTTCCTGGTTTTCCTGGTATCTGAAGTTAAAATCTCTAGCGAATTAAAAAAGAAATCTAAGCAATATATCACAATTTGAAAAAAAGGAAGGCAGACATTAGAAATCAGATACATCGTTGCCCTCCATGGATCACCTAAAAATCCTGAGTGGTATACGGAGGTATTTCAAATATTCATCAATCAGCTATGTTTTTAATACTGTACATAATAACCCTCCCCCCCCTCCCCCCAAAAAAAGAATAGTGCCTGGAGCTGTGGAACTGAGGCTCTAAAGCCTTTCAGCACCTCAGTTTAGTTACAATTCCCTGCTTAATCTCTCAGATCTCTTGCAGCAAGAAATTTATCAATTAGGTAAACCACATCAGCATATGATGCAACTCTGGACTCATTAATGTGGAGGCCAGTGAGATGATTATGCACACTTTCTTAACTTCTTAAGACAAAAAAATGCCAATAGAGCTAAACTCATAGCATTCACTTATCAGGTAATCTTTTTTCTTAACCTCATTATTCCACGGGGTATTGGAATAAAAGTGGTACTGGCCCATCACTGAAATTGTGGATGCCAAGAATTACAGCTCAGCACAGAATGGCTTCAGAAAACAATGGAAAAAACTCCAGTCAGCCAAATCAGACACCCAGATGTTTTCTGAATCAAGTTTTGCCTCAGTCACAGAATAAGACCTTCTTTGAGGAGACAGTAATAGAGATGGAATATCCAAAACAGCAACTATAAAATATGGTTAACTCCCATCAAAGGAAGAAATTCTCCTTGTTTGGTTCAACATTGTGGATGTTTCTCAGTAAACAGTCAATTTAAAAAGCAATACTGAAAAAAAAAGTCTTACCTTGGAAAATAAGTCAAAGCAGCCCAGGCGGCTGATGACACAATAAACTTCAGGTAGGCGTGGGCCTTTTCCACTTGGCTGATAACAGAGAAAGGGAGATTGAAATTACACATTAATTTGCAGCCATAAGGAAATACACTTATCTTTCTGATCACAAACTTGGTCCTAATGTGACATCTTTCACTATCCGCCTCTCCATCAAAATAGTTACTCTTGGAAAAGCATCATATTTCTTCCATAAGACAGAAAACTAAAAAGCATAAATACTGCTTGCTTATCCACTTTGGAAATCACAGTGCTTTGGAGCTGTTTCCTTACATGGCTCCATCTTGAAGCCATAATAGCACATTTAAATATGACAATATCTTATGTGTCTGCTATCACAGTCTTCTGTTCCTGCTATGGCATGAAGAGTGAGGCTGCCCTGGGGCCATATGCTGAGAGATGAGGACTGCAATGCTAAGGAGAGGCTACAGCAGCTTTAGTTCCCTACTCATCTTCTGGTGTGCAGAGGGAGTTTGACTTCCAGAAAGCCAGCAGAAAGCTAAACAAGGGCAGGCCACGTGAGCTAAATCAGTAAGAACAAGGCCAATGCAGAGCACTTGTGAAAGGCTGCCCTCGCTGGCAGGACCTGCAGCTCGCCTGCCTGCGTCCTGCACATGCACGGGAGCCATGGACAGCTGGGAGGTCCTGGGCATGCACAGCAGCCCCCGCTGGGTTTTCAATCAGTTGGATTTCTGCTTTGTGCAGTTGCAGTTGATTTTCAGCAGTTTGAGGGACACACGCTTCCTAGAGGGTGCTACTTTACCAAGGCTTTACCACTTGAGACCGTCAAGCTGCCTAGGCCAGCAGCAACACCGGTGACAGCGCAGGAGGACTCAGGCACAGCAGCAAAGCCAAGGAGCAAGGGCTCCATGCAGGGCCTGAGCACTCAGCAGGCTCCCTGTGTCCAGGGGTCCTGTGCAGCCGGCTGGGCTTGGGCAAAATCGAGTAAAAAGTGGCTCCAACAGAATCACTTGGTGCCTCTTGGCCACTTTGTACAGCTGTGCACTACTGATACGCAGCAGTGACAAAGTCATCCCCACTAACAACAGGGCTCTGAGAAAGGGGCTTGCAGTCATCGTTTCCATCAGCTTCTGCCCGCCTGTGCACTAAGGTGAGGCAGCTGATCACCTCCTCTCTAGCCACGTGCAGAGCTCAACCTGCAACCCTGCGGGGATCATGAGGTGTTGCCAATGCTGTGAAAAACTTCCCTGCCAGGTTTGATACTCATAAGCCCCAGAGATGCCGATCAGGAGAGTCTGAGGGGTAGCTGTGCTTTCAAATCCGAGTATTGCTGCCTCAGCCGGGATGGCCAGCAGGTGCCTGGGCAATAGAGATGATGAAAAAATACCAGGACTAAATGAATACAGATGGGTCTATTTCTGGATCCAAACCTGCTCACTACATGTCACATCTCTGAAAAAGCAGAACCCTTTTTTGTCCATATTAGGTATAAAACCCTTTCTAAAGGCATAGAGTGATTATATCAAGCATGTGGGATTTTGGTTAAAATCATTTTGTCAAATCTGCAGGAATGTCGAAGCCATGCCAGCAGCCTTGGACAGCCCCCAACCAAGAGCTGTCTTACTGAGTTCCAGTAAAAACACCACATTCCTGGGTCATCTATAAGCCCAGAAACAATCACTGCTCAGCGTTTACTCAAAGATCCTGCTTTGTGAAATATCACTTCCAAACGTCGTAAAAGCTACGTGTCCCTGAGATTCTTCCCTCCTTGCACTCCTCGCACAGGATGTCTCGTTTATGTCAGAGATCTTTTCTTGCAAGCAGTGCAGCCTTCTGACTGCATTCAAATCATCTGCAAGATGCAGCAAGCAAATACCTTTGCAGGGCTATTCTGTGGGGCAAGATTTCTACAATTTCTCACACTGGTAACTCTTCTCATGTCCTCCCCCCTCAACCATTAACTTGCACCATGGAGGGGTTTGGTCCGTTTGCCTTAAAGATGGATCCAAAACACCTGCTCCCCAACACCATATTTTGTTTCCCAGAAAAATGTGCAGGACATGACTCACAACCTCCTTGGCCTCACACCTCCCTTCTCTGAGTAGACTGGTCTCCCTCCACCAGCAGAGACTTGGCCCTGGCTGAGGTGATTTGACCCCCTCTCAAACAGGAGCACAAGCAGGGGTACACCCAAGGCCTCAAAGGCATCCAACCGACTCTTCTTCGATGCTCTCACTGCCCTCCTCCTGGCAGAAGATGGGACCAAGGGGTCAGCCTTTTGTTTTCGAAGCACTCAGGATAGTGCAGTTTTAATCCAGTATCACTAACAAAAATGCTACTGAGCTATGTTGGTAGCAGAAGACGGACTCGCAGGAGGATGAGTAACTGCTGAGAACTTTGCTATGAGATGGTTGTTGGTAGCAGAAGACGGACTTGCAGGAGGATGAGTAACAACTGCTGAGAACTTTGCTATGAGATGGAAGAGCTGAGGGCTGGCAAGTAGCTCAGGACAGCCTTGTTACACTTAGTCTAATGCTGACGTTGCTGAGCATTTGCTCTGCAAACACTTCCCTTCACACGCTGCCTCTGGCGGGGAAACCCGGGGCCCTTGCTCCTGCACAGGAGCCCATGCTTTCTCTTCTAACGGGGACCTCCCTGCACAGGTGCCGGAGAGCCAGGGGAGGTGTTTAGAAAATTGTTTATGTTTTAAACCTGTGCCCAAAAGCTTGTGTTAGAGTCTTTTTGTTACATATGCAATATAAACTTTCAATGACAGAGCACCTCATGTGGGGGAAGGCAAGCAGAAAGGAAGCAGGGAAGCTTTTCCGGTGAGCTCCTTGCACCTCCATAAACATTAGCCTGTATCACACCAGATTTATCTCTAAGCTGTAGTGAATTCCCGCCCCTGCCCGAGCAAATGCAAAGACAAGCTTGTCCCACCTAAAGTCCCGTTTTCACCTTTTAATGTGCACACTTCATGTTCAGGCATCTGCTCCTCCCAACTCCTTAACCTAAACTTAGCCTAGGAATATGCTGGAGGGACATTTTTTAGGTGAGAGGGAAGACAGAGGTAGGATAGGGTCAAACAGCCCCTGTGGGTTTTTACTTTATTTCTGCAAGTACTAAGTTACCAGCCAAGAAATCCTGATACTGCCAGGCTTGATGCTCTGAGAATGGAGTCTTTCCAGAGGCCTGTCCTGTAGGTCTCTACTGCTGTTACCATGAGCCAGCTGCCGCCTCCAGCAGAGGGGCTGCAGGCCACTGCTTTGAGGACGCCCTGGCCTTGGGTAGCCTGGTAGTGCCCACGAGCTGGCCTGAGGCCCCTGCAGCACAGGCAGCACGGCCCTGCTGCCTGGGCGCTGGTGCAGGAGCGGCTTCCGCGCCGGGCTCCACTGGGGGAGCCAGCATGCACAGCCCTCAACGCCAGCCGGCCCGGGGCTGCGCGCAGCCAGTGCCTCACCCAAAGGCCACGGGCCACTCTGGCTGCATCCTCCCTTTCTCTGGGCTGCAGAGACCAGCTCCTGGCCTCACAGGAAGGAAAATTTTGCAGATTTTCCACCACTGAGGGCCTCCGAGCCCAGACTGCTGAGAGCATCCCTGCTCTCCTCTCTGTAGGGCTTGCATGCCCACCGCACTCTTAGTGCGCACAAGCCTCTGCGGTTGCACAGACTGAGAATGGCTGACATTTAAGCCACACTTCATAAAGTATTTTCAACATATTAAATCAAGGAGATTTGTAACATTAAATGATAAACTAAAACAAATTTTTAAAAGGAAATTCTGCAGTGTACAGCATGCACTCAGGCTCCTGACACACCAACCCTCCCTCCTGGTGCCTCCCTGCCGGGCGCTCGTGCAGCCCCTGCGCTACAGCCTCCTGCCCACGCGGCCGGTGGGTCTGCCGGGGCGTCTCGGGGGGCAGCGCAGCGGGACGGCGCCGGAGGCAGCAGCCTGCAGGGCCAGCCTGAGCCCCGGACACCCGCGCAGCTCCGAGCCACAGCCCCACAGCTCTAGAAAAGAGCCTGGCAAACTGGTGGATTAGTTAGTGCAGGAAAGAAAGCAAAATTACTTTGGGTTATTAAAGAGAAATGCTTTGCTGACAGTAAAATGGGATAATAGGGAAGGCTAACATCTCTGTTACATCCTTTCATTTCTTTTCATATGAAAATGCATACTTCTCACTTCTAGTCACCAGGAGAGCTGTTAAGTGATTGCCTTGGAGGTATCAAGATGTAACTGGAAAACAATACGCAGTTTCACAGATAGCACAAAGTTTGTTACAGTACAATTGGTTACATTCCAGTCTAATCCTGTTTTAAAATAAAACAAAGTAATATAAATATATGTAAAGTAGGTACTGCATCGGATTTGTTGTACAAACAGGACATAATTGTCACTGTATCCCTTGAGATATTTTTGGCAAGGTTTTAGAAAAAAAAAAAAAAGGACTGGAGCAATCTGAAGGCAGAAAGGAAAAAGTGGAGCACTTTGTATCACAGTAATCCAAAGAAAAACAAGGCTGACAAAAAGTTCAGTAACAAAAAAGTAATTATCTCAAAAGTTAAGGACTGAGAAAATCAAACTCTGCAAAAGGACACAAACAGGACATTGAACACTACCTACCACACAGAACTAGGCTGGTGATCCATCTAGTCATGCAGCCTGTTGCCAATGACTGCAAAATGCTTTAGAGGAAGATCTGAGAAACGCTCAGCTGAAAATTATGAGGGAGTTCTAAGACATTCTCCTCGCAGCTGGCTCTTCCTGAAGCATGGAGTATAATGCTTTGGGGTTTTTTGTTTGTTTGCTTGCTTGTTTTTTACAGTTCTGTATTGCACAGTATGGCCCAATCTTTCCCATATACAACATCTGTCAAAAACTGTAGTTCCAGAACTGTGGTCATCATATTTGCCAGAGCTTTTGGTTCTGGAACGGGCCTCCTTGCCAGAGGAGATGCGGGGCAATTCTGGATGCCAGAGCAATCCTGACTGCAGCTTTCAGAAACTGCTCAGGAAGTTGAACAACATCCTCCCCCAAAATCTCTGGCATACAAACAGCACCTACAGGATTTATCTGCTCTTTGTTGCCTGTACAATTGTTTTAATACACAAAGTAGGAAAATATGCACATAACTGTAAATAGAAATACCATACTGAGGTACACATCAGCCAAGCTGTTGCACCCATGCACCCCCATTTGCAGAAATGAGAAACTGTTAATCTTTGTGAGGACAAAAGAAATCGACAGCGAAGGCACTTGATTAACAGCCCTAAATCCATCATTTCTCCCAGCAGGGCAAGAAGGGGTGGCAATATCCACCCAACAACAGATCTTTGCCACTTTTGCTATTTTCCTACACAGGAAAGTTCTGTAATTTTTTCTCTGCAGCTTCCAAAATCCTTTTTCTTCCTAAGCCCTGGACTGTGCAAGGTCTGCAAGGCAGGCGGGATTTGCCCTAGAAAAGGCGAGAGCCACTTCCACATGAAGTACTTTGGTATCCCCCATCATCCCAGTGCTCCCCGTGGGGCTAGCTGCACCGTGCAGCGCAGTCACAGCGGCCTCGGCAGGTTAGTTCTTGGAACCAGGTGAAACTTCTTGAATGATCTCCCAGGGCGGTAGCAGCTGTGGCAGCAGCAGATCAGCTTTATAACTGGTTTAATAATTATTAGATAGATATAGCAGAGCAGTACTTTTTTTCCTTTTTCTTTTTTTTTTTTAATTCAAATTATTTTTTGCTATCAGATTGATTCATTTTTACCATGTCCCCAATGTCATTTCAAAGCACTATTTATATGCAGTGTATAATATTGATTTAATTCTCCTCCCAGTATAGCCTAATATGATAACTAATCGTGTGCAATAGCTGAAAGTCCACATTGTATTTTTATCTTGCCTTTATGGCGGCTTTCAGAGTTGATTAAAAAAAAAAAACAAAAAACCCACCACCATCACCACCCACTGCATTAATCCTTCACTGTCAAACTAATTCAGCATTCCTGTATATATCTTTTTTTGTTGTGTCTTATTTCAGTCCCAACCTGATCAAGGTTCCGCTGTTTTCCATTTCACCAAAGTAAATTCTGTGCATGTGGCATGTGTCCAAACTTGCTTACCAGAAATTATTTTCCATAAATACAGAAGTCTTAAACCACCTTTCCTTGGTAGAATTTAAAAATTCCGTAATTTAATTCTAGCCAATGTTTCCTGGGGTTTTGTTAATTCTCCACAACTACACCTCATTATCCTCCTAAATGACAACACACAAAAAGTAACTGAATAGTGCTCCTGTCCTCGTTAGGTCAGTGAGGAAGCACCTGTTTTCAAGCTTGCAATGCTGCTGCATAAATTCATTTTACACACAGAAACGCAAAAGGCTCCTGCATCCATATAAGCTCTAATATGCATATAAACTCTCCTTAGCAGCACAGATAAGTGTTGTGTGAACTGTACAGGAGCCTGCCAAGGCAGGCACTCAACAACCAGCTCCAAACCTATCTTGACAGCTCAGGAGCACAAAACAGCACAGGGATGGCCAGCTGCTCCCAGCTTGGCTGCCATAAGGTCAGATCTGTGGGGACAGACAGCCAAAATCTATTTGCACTGCATTTCCCCTGGCTGAATAAACTTTGCAAGCCTTTGTGCAATTCCCTCCCTGCAGGACACATACACGGGCCACACACACAGAGCCATGCTCTCCATTTCACTGGCCAAATGACCTGTCCATTTTCCAGGTGGTGAGACAACATCGTATAGGTGGGCAGTGTCGGGCTCACACAACCCCAGCTGCCCAACACTGATCATGAGGACTGAAAAGAAGCCAAAGATCCAGACTTCCTGCAACCAGCATCGGCTTAGTGCATGCTGCAGAGCAAACCTGCTCTCTACTCTCGATGCCACTGTGCTGGAAAGGGTGGCTCAGCTACCTGCACCACAGACGTGCTGCCCACTGGTGAGGCAGTGCTGGTGCAGTGCTCTAGAGATGTAAGCAGCTGTCCAAGAGATAAACACTACTCCAAAATGTTTAGAAATACCACATTTGCCTTTCACTGCAGCTTTGGAATATTTCTGCTTCTGCTAAACCAAGCAATATAAAGAACTTAAAAATTAAATGCCCACACAAGAAACTTCCCAGATTCTTATAAATTTCCTAAAAGATTTGGGATCTATTTCATTCAGACAGGCATTACAAATTATTGTTTTCCTTGAGGTCCTTAGGTCTCCAAATTTCAGAGCAAGTAACTCAGTTTTATTTTAAAAAAGCACTCAGATTATAGTTTTGAGAGACTGTTTTACAGAATTCTGCATTTTGAGAAGAAAGTGATAAGCTTACCAACAGCCTCCTGCAATAGCCAAACCTCCGGCTTCCATCTTCCCCAGTCAGCATGAAAGAGAAGGTCTCACTAGAAGAAGATAAATTGTCCAGATCTTACTATGTTATACATATCATAAAAGATTACTAGCTTACACTATTTTACAGTGTAGTTGTGTGGTAGGTCATTTAAAAAGCAATACTTCCTTATCCAGTGAGTTATGCTACCCACTGGAGCACCTTCTTCCCATCATCTGGGTGTACTGTACTCCACCTTCCTTCCTTAGTCCTTAGTTAGATCCTCTCTTTGGCCCATGAAAAGTGCTGTGTTCACTTACAAGCAGAACCAGATACTCTCTTAAAGAACAGAAATCACTTTTTAAACTGGAAACAACACAACCTTGAAAAATCCACCTCATTTCATATCCTCCTCTGGGACAAGTACTATTTATAATGGACAAATTGTTAAAACTGCAGTTACAGCCCAGGTAAGGGTAGGTGGGTGCGGTGCCAAGGCTGGTAAACACTGCTGACTGCTCTGCAAGCTTGAAATGGCATTGTATAGAGCATGTCTCCTTTGTGTTGCAAGGCCAGGGTCTGTGTAATTACAGCAGCAGAATTACAGCAGATCTTACTGAAGATCTGTCTAGGAGAGCAGCAGAAGTGTATGCCGTGCAAGCCTGGCTGTGTGATGCTCGCACCCACCATATCCAAAGCTCTCTGCTTCTTCTTCAGTTTCAGTAACTCATTCTTCAAATGCTTCTAAGTACTGAATATAGCCAAGCAACACAGCATATACCATTACTGTAGAGTTATGTGGTATGTGCCCTGTGTAAGCTAGTAAAATGTTCCATACTTATTTTTGGCTAGAGTGATTCACATAGGTGAATGCTAGTTCCACGTCACAGTTGAAAGTCCCGTCAGACATGCCCTGAAAATGTCTTACTTCACTTAAACACATCTTCTGCTACACATCTTAGAAAGTCATGCCATATTTTGGATGATCCACTTTTACCCCTTCGGATCATCAAGTTCTAGTGATGGAAAACAAAGATACATTTCTGAGGTTTCTTTGAATGATAATTCTTTTGAATGCCCCTTTTTCTGCAGTTATCCAGCTCTGAAGGTAAGAAAATCTGCTCCTCTGCTGACATAAAGCACACTCAAAGAAAACCCCTTCAGAACAGCACTGAATCAAGCTGGTTCAAGAGGTGCTCTGCAACGTTACACAAGCCTTAGAGGGTAGTGACCAGGGCAGGTGGTGGGCAGGGCTTTGGCCTTTTTGGAGATTTATTTTAAATACTTCCATTTATGCTTTTGGATTTGGCACAGGGAGTAACCTTCTTTCCCTCAGCCACAGAGGCCTGTGAGCCAGACAGAATGGAGAAGAAAAATAATACAGAACTTAAAAAAAAAAATTAAATACAGCTGCTTGAGTCTGAAGTGGCCAAGACTCAAGCTGCTACTTCCTTAATTGGGCAAGGCGAGCGTGTGGCTGCTCCAGATGCACTCCATCAGCACAGAGCCGCCGCGGAGCACAAGGGAGTTTACCTGCTGTACTCGGAGACAGGGAGCCAGTCCTTGGCATCAGGAAAGCAGAACTGAGGGATGGCCTTGAGGCGCTCCTCTGCTTCACGCATTTGTTTGGTGGGTCTTTCCAGCTGCAATGGCAAAACAGAGGTTCACTGGGGCTGTCCTTCGTGCCAGCTTCTCAGCAGGGGTTTGCTGAGGAGCTGTGAGGAGCAAGGGCCCATCGGCTTGTTCTTTATTTGTGCTTAGCAGACTGGGGCAGACTGGCCTGAGGCTGGTAGATGCCAGCACAACAGAATAATCACTGACAGACGCTTGTTCGCCTGAAGTTCCTCTGTTGCACAATGGCTGCTTAAAGCTCAGTCCTATCTCAAATTCCTTTCTGCTGCAAGACCATGAGAGAAGTGCCATGGCTTAGCAGAAGTCTTTCCATTGACATCAGTGGCTTTTGGCGCAAATCTTAATACAGCCAAATTGAGTTAAAAGTGAAATATTTAGAAACTAAATTTAAAGACAGTACTTAAACAGTCAGGCCAAACTCTCCAGCACTGGGAAAGGCAATTTTGCAAATTAGGAAAATACTCAATCACCATTTCTGTGTTCCTCACTGTATAACAGAACACTCTGGAAAAAATCTGAAAACTGAATGATTGACTCCATTTAAGAAACAGATTTGTCCTAATTTTCCCACTTAATCATTTTATTGTTCTTAGCCAAAATGATCTTACAAAGCAGTTAGGATAAACTGAACATAAGAATTTTTCTTTTACCTTGGGAAACTGATATGTCACTTCTGGGAGGTAAGTATTTTTAGAGGGCTTCTTTTTCAGTGACACTACCACAAAATATTCAAATAACTCCCGTTCCTGCCATTCAATCAGCTCCAGTTCCAGGGTTCGGTAGCTTGGAGCTCTTTTCAGCATTGACTGGATGTGCACTAGACGCTGCGTATGAGCTAGCATTTCAAAGAAAACAGAAAGAGAGCTAGATCATTACCTGGGAATGCAATGCGTATGCATAAGCCATTCACACAGAACTTGCATTTTGCCAAGGTATTACTCCAAGCACATTCTCCTTTCAAAAGCAGGCCTTTGCACTGTAGTCTCTCTCACTAATTCTACCAATAAATCAAAACTCTAAGTGGTGAAGTGATGCAACACCAAGCCACCAAAACCATCTGCAGTTCCTCTGCCAAGGATCTGTCTTTTCTTCCCTTTTATTCCCACACAGAGCCAGCTTACAAGCCCTTTTGTGGGCATGCAGATGCCTCTAGCATGGCACACTCCTTAGGCCTGAGCTGGACCTGGTCTACCTTGGAGGAAACCAACTCCATGAGCAGTGTATGCAGCACAGCTCCACATTGGGCAGCGCTGAAGGCATACTTCCACCTCCCCCATAGCACAAGCCCAGCCCTGCAAGCTGTTGATGGGAAGGGGAAGATGAAGGGGAAGGGCAAAATCCCTCCTGCAGAAGTGCTTTGCTCATGCCAGTTCATCCTGAGAGGCAGACTCGCATTCATGGCCATATCCAGCTCTGATCCAAAGATACTTCCCAGTGCAGGTACCTGTCCCCAGATCATTCAGGCAGAGTAGTCAGTCACATCATTACCAACAAGTAAAAAGAAGTTAAGTGAAAACAGCTGCCTGGGTTCTTTTCCCACCTCTGCACAGCAGGATCTCTGCACGCTGGCAGGCAAAATGTTAGCGCTGCATGTCAACCCCTTAGGACTTTATTCATTGACACGGCTTGTAATTAGCAAAAGGCAGACTGTCCCTTGTGGTTGGGAAATAAGATGTCACAGGCATAGGATCACATCAGTAACTAACCACCTGAAAGGAGGGGAAACCCTCTGATGATCAGCTGTCATGGACTGGTTCAACACCAGCAAGATTAAGAGTTATCCTGATAAAGTGCTCTGGATCTCGGTGTGCCTGCACAGCCAGGGAAGACAAATCCCCAGCAAGCAGCCTGTCCTGCTTTGAGCTCTCTTGTCTCTTGCTGCTGGCTGGTATACGTCCTATTGGCAAGAGAAAGAGAGAGGAGCCCATCACACCCCAACTGCTGGTGACCTAAAAAATCCTGTCAAGCTACATGTGACAACTGGACCTTTGGCTCAGGATGCCCTGAGGATCCTCCCTTCCACAACAACAGGGGAAAAAGGCTCCCAGTTCCCAGAGTAACCAGAATAACTTCTCAACAACACGAGAGCCCAGACCCTGCCTGATTTCCTTCGCAAACTATGGGCAAGAGCAAACTCTGTATTTTTCACACAATGGAAAACAAAACAAAAGGTGCTTTTGAAGTGGAATCTGTCTACAAAAGAGGGATGAGTCTCTTCCTCACGCCTTACAACATGTCATTTACAGCTGGTTTTGTGTGAGGTACTATGTGTCTTACTGCCCCTTAACCTGAGCAATTCTTTTTCTCCTCAAACGTTTTCCATCAGACAAACAAGAGTATTTACCTCATAACATAGCTCTGCACTGCTGTTTTTTCCCCCCCTCACTTATTAATAACATAATAGATTTGAGGATTTTTTTTAATAATAAAATCCACTGTTGCTGCCTTTGTCTTTTTTATTTTTCTCTCTGTGTATCAAGACTCTTGACAATGAGGAAGTTTGCTGGCTTTTTTTGCGGCTCATTTGCAGCTCATTTGCTGGCTTGGTTCAAGTAGAGTTTGTGCAGGTACTGTGCACTGATAAATAAATTTCTACAATTTGGAAGCTGCAGATCTATAAAAGAGTAGGAGAGTAACAACTGCTTTGCTGGATCAGACCCAGTATGTTGCCTATGTTGCCTCCAACAGTGACTAGCAGTAAATGCTTAAAGCGGTGAATAAGACAACAGTACATGTACCTAACCCTATCCCTCCAGAGTTTTCACCCAGTAGGCTGTCTGGAAAACACCAGCATCGATGATACGGCTGACAAAACAAATCTGTCAAAGGTTCAACTGTTCTTCATTAGACAAGACAGTTGCCAAATCCTTGTTAGAACATCACAGGTCATTTGTCCTTGCTTTCCACATTCATGCTCCTATGTTGGAAACTTTGATCTAGTATAGTTCAAGAAGGAAAATATGCCATAGCTGAAGAATGTTGACAGCACCTGTGATAGTGGCTGACTAGAAATACTGAAGAGCGACCCCTTACCTTTAAACCTGTCATCTGAGTCACTCTCACTCTCACTGTTTTCATCTGCAAGAGAAATAACGAGGGATCAGTTAATGCAAAACCAAAGCAAACAAAAATTTGGTATAGCGCAATGAGACTGGGAAAGAATCATATCTCACACTGAGCCTTGTGATCCTCACGTGTTCTCCTCAGAGTTTTAAAACATACTGAAGAAAAACAGTTTGAATGACTCCTCTAGATTGTGGTTTCCCTGGAAGACATTTCGATTTTGCTTGAAAATAAGAGCTTTGCTTGATGAAAATGCAGCATTCATTCTCTCTGGGAGCAAAAGATTACACTTCCTCATGTGGACTAAACTACAGATGTGAATGCACCATTTGGAAAATGGATTTTAACGCTTTCACTTATTTTTTAGACTTCTACTTTTAAAGGGAAGTTAAGCAGCATTTGGGAAATGAAGAGAAGCCTTATGGGCTTCCCCTGGGCAAGGTTTTCACTTGGCAGAACTCACCATACCAAATGTAACAGGCAAAAGGTTATCTTCTGATAAAACACAGTTCTCAGTTTCTGATTTTGCTCTTTAATCTTCTTTGTACTGCTACTACAAGCATAACCCGATTCTCTCTCTGGACCCACGCTTTTCCATGGGAACCCAAAGCCCAGAATGAATTATAGTCACATGCTCATGTCAGAAAAAAGGAATGAATGAATTGCAGGGTTAAAACTGAATTCTGGATAAAACTTGCAAACTCAAACTGCTGACCAAGTTGAATAAGTAAAAGGCTGGGTGAGTTTTTAGTCAGCCATGGTACTAAAAGCATAGACACCACTGAGAGATTTGGTTTCTTTTTAGCCCATCCCCATTTTCTCCTTTGGCAGAAAAAAAGTTATTTTTGTAAATACGGGAAAGTTTTAAACAAAGAAGAGCATAAGGTAGATGTAGTGGAGAAAAGAAGGAAATCCTGTAACGTTCAAATGGACTCACTGAACTTTAATGCTTGTGTCATACCTCTCAAGGAAGCTGTCTCAATATTGGACATAGAAAGTTTCTTCAATCGCTTTTTTCCTCTTTTTGCACTATAAATGGAATTAATTCTTTGAACAAGCTGTAAAAGAAGAAAAACAGTCAGTGAAAACACACACATTTCTGCTAGGAAACTTTTAATTAATTAATCTATCCAAACAAAATTTGGCCATGGATGATAGGGCAACTGTGTCCTCTAACTTCTTTACTTTTTCAAAGTGGATTCGTATCTCTCTTGTTTTGGATCTCAGTGACATTTTACTTCTTTACCGATGGATATATTTTCAGAATTAATTAACAAAACCAGAAACCTAAATCTTATTTTCAAAGCTGACTTGTAAAAAATGTACAATGAAACCGATGATTCGAAAGCACACTTCAGAAATTTTATCCCTTTACCACCTCATTCCCATCTAGGCTGTTTATTGCTTCACTCATGCTGTCTAAACACAGTGATCCATTAGCCATATCCAGCTTTCCCAAACTCTCATGGACCTTAAGATCATAACAAATTTCAAACACAAGAGTAACACATCTGTTAGCAGCTCTCTGGAACTGTGATTTTAGTGTATTCAAATAAGGACAGAAGGACTGGCTCTTACTTTTTAAAGCCTTTTCAGGTGCAGAATAAATCAGCAGCTTTGAATCCAGACGATATCATTTGAGGACCTGGCCCATACAGGCTTCTCCTCCCTCCCCCTTCCAACATGTGCTGTGTTAGAGAGGTACTCTATCTGCTTTCTTCAAATGTAGCCTGACCTACCAAAGTGTTTCCAAGTCAGCTACTAGTGCCAGCTAAAACAGAATTTGCACTTCTGGTAATCATCTTTAAGACCTCCCTCTGCAGAGCTAATCCAGACATTAACTGTTTACCAAAGAAAAGATCTGAGATGATGGAAAGTATTAACTAGATTAACTAGTGTTTAGTGGCTTTACAAGAGTTTGGGATTACTAAGAATTAGTAATTAAACAGAATATTATTATTTCTGATGAAATAATTCCCAAATATGAAGCTATTAATCTTCATAAAGGCCTTGTGAGTCAGAAACAGCATATTTCACTCCATAGCAGCTTTCCTCATAGAGTTACAGAACAACTAACAAAAGCTGTTTTACTTCAGCTTCACAAGAGAAAAAAAACTGAGTGAGAGCAGCCAACCTGCCCTAGCCCAGCAGAACGCCAGGAAGACAGCATGCACTGAAACCAAACGTTGGGTCCACAGTTCAATCACACTACCTGTATCTTATCAGAGATCGTATCAGAAACACGCATCCAATTTTGATGGGAAATTTTACAATTACTGTTCAAATCCTCCTCCTGCCTATACCAACATATGGCCACAGCAGCTTCTGCCTGGTGATGGCAAGAGCCTGGCCCAGACCCCTGAGCTGAAAGCGTTAAGACGCTCGCTTGCTGGCTGCCCTGAGGAGGCGTTTGGGATCCGGCCCCGCGTGCTGAGGCGGCGCACGCCGCCTGGCTCGGGCTGGCGAGAGGCGGCTGCGCCGGCAGCTCTCCGCTCGCGGGATGCCTCGGCTCCGCTCGTCGGGAACCCGCGCCGCCGGCGGGAGGAAATCCTGCCTGGCTCCCGCGCGGACGCCAGCCCTGGCCAGGCAGAACAAGGCTGTGGGAAGGCGGGCGAGGGGCCCCGCTGCCATTCCGCACACCCCTCGTGAGCTGCTTCTCCTTGCCCTGCTTCAGCTGTGCCATCATGAGTAAAATCCTGCACTGGGGTGACTACAACCCAGGGTTTAAAGCACTTAACTGTGGTTTCCCAAAGCACCCTGTCATCTTCTCTTCGTGCTTTGCATCTGTGGAGGCCCAGAGTAGATGGGGAAGGATGGGAGCTTCTGAGGTTCAAGCTTTTCCTCTGTAACTACACTTATTTTATTAATAAAGGCATGAGATTTTCCAGTAATACGTGATTCTAGGAGCTAAAGCTGTCAGAAAGATATAAATCATCCTGAGACTTCTGTTAAAATTATGAACATTCATATGTTGAAAACATAATTTTGTATGTGGAGAATGTCTGACTTAAATCAGACAAAAAATGAAACCTAGGTACAAAATCAGCAGCTAAACTTGCCAAGTATTACAGTGACTGGCAAGTAACTGTGAATTACTCCTTAACTAAACACTCCTACTGCATGCTAGTTTATGCAGGAAAACAATATATTCCAAGAAAATAAATATATAGTAAATATTAAGGATATATGATTAATTTCCTTCTTTTTTGTTTGCTTCCTGCTTAGCACAAACTTCAGAGTAATTGAAAGGAATACAAAAATCTCCCTCAACTCACAGTATTTATAGCCATGTACTTTAAAATAAGTCCTTTAACAAGAACAGGAAAGAGTAAAAATGAGCTTTGTTCACAAGCCAAAAATAAACATATTGGCAGTTCTCTCCCCTCTCTTTGCTATTGTACTAGAAAAGATTTATTTTTTTTTTCACATCCTACTTTGGAAAATTTGAACTTCTTGAAAAAGAGAAAATTAGTTTTTACTTTAAAGCCATCAAGACAACAGAGCTATCAGGTTGGGGCAGATTGTCAGGAAACAAGCGGAAACTTACTGGGTCAATAACAGCTATTTCCCTGAGAAGAGCAAGAAAATGAGGAAAAAAAACCCTCTTCAGATGCCGCTGCACATTATGCATAAGTACTCAGTAAGTATCCATTCAAAATCATCAAATTAGTTACAAAACTACTCTGAAAGAAGTAAAGAAAACTGCTGTAGAAAATGATGTTGGTTTAAAACCAACCCTGGGCAAAGCTGGGTCTCAAGTGATTGCTGCTTAAGGGCCAATGGAGAGCTACCCACTTCTATAGACGGGATCTCCACAGCATAGGTGTGTGCAGAAAAGTTTTGGGGCCCCAAGAATTTCTGTTTCTGTTTAGACTGGGATCTCCACAGCATGGGTGTGTGCAGAAAAGAAAAGTTTTGGGGCCCCAAGAATTTCTGTTTCTGTTTAGACCTCAATTTTCTTTTTGGAGGCAATAAAGCTTTCAGTGATGGGTAAAAGCTGTAAAGAATTTGGCAAGCTCTTTCAGACAGGTGAGCTACCCTCAACACAAGCCTCAGAGCTGAGGTCTTGAAATCAGTTTAATGTGCAGCTCTGAGGCCCAGAAGTCAAACCTAAGGAGCACTCAGACCCCTTTAACCTGAACCAGATCGCCTCTATTTTGACTAGGCCCTTGCAATTCCTTTGGGCTGTGGGCAGATGCAGGGATGTAGATGTGGCCATTTACTGTGTGGTGGCAATGGTCCCCACAGCGTAATATTGGCCCCTGTAGGACCAGTTTACACAGGTCATGAGCTGCTCTACCCTAGCGTTTTACCACTGGTGAAACCCGAGGCTGGACCCTCTGACGCTTTGCTGGGACACAGCAACCCTGGCAGTACCTTTGGGATCCTCCTGGCTCGGCGCGTAGAGAGCAGCTCGCTCGTGGTGCTCAGGCTGTCCTCGTGGAGGCTGCCGGGGGGGGGGGGGAAGGCGAGCTGCGGCCGCCGCTGGCTGCTCGGCTTGGAGGGCAGCTGCAGGAACAAGAACAGTTTGAGCTCTTGCCAGCCTCGGCAACATGGACAGCAGAAGTGGCTGTCTCTGAGAAAGGGGGGGCTACACAAGGCCACCACGCCAGGGAGCCACTGCTCTACGGAGTATGCGTGAAATACGGGGTTCAAGGTCAAAATTAAAAGATAAGATAATGAAAAGATAGTATCTAAGAGTTTGTTTAAGCTCTGTTTGCTTTGCTGCGATCTAGGAGAGAGCAAGCCATTTACTCCACCTTGCTCTCCCTGTTTGCTTGTGCACCTAACTGTCCTTCCTGTATCTACCTCAAACATTGACTGATATGACTACAAAAAGCACCATGCTGTCAAGCAACTGCTAACTAGCATTTGCCAACATTTTTGGACATACACCTGCACCCACAAGTAATAAATGCCTCACTTTCTTATGTGCAAGATTAATCTACTAAGGGATATACATATATTTTAACGGAAATATGTTTATGTGCATGTATATATTTTACATATATATATTTTCTCAATTGCAGCCATACAACCTGGCATTAAACCTAGGTGCCTCTGTTCATTTTCCATCACAAATACATCACTGTCAATAAAACATTCTTTTTATGTGAGAACTTAAAAACTGAAACTAGCAAAGGGGAAAGGAGAAGACTGAATGGGACTCAAAATGACCATAAGCCAATGCTTTTGAGGTCTCTGCTCACCACGGGTCTGCAAGCCAGGAAAATTCGCAGTAGTGTATATTCTAGTAAGAGGAATTCTTTTGGAGATGACTGTCAAAAGTCTGCTGACCTCCTGATCTCTTCCATCTTGTTCATCATGACCCATGACTGAAAAGTTATGTTGCTAATCCAGCTATGTTGCTAATGCTGGAAAAACTGGGAGATAAATGGTTTCCAAAGCTGCTGTTCTTCGGGAAATGGAGACTTTTCTACTTCTGGTCATTGGAGAATTACCCAGGCCCATAGTTGACTTGCTGCTAGTGTCTCTTTGCTTTATGTATCAGAAAAATGACTGCGCAGTTACGGCAGAACTGACAGAAACTCCCGGCTGCATTTCAGAAAGAAGCTACCACAGTAAAGATAGCACCATTGCTAAGATAACAGAGATTATTTATTTACTGAGTAACTGCAGAGAAGCCACTCAAATCTGTATGTCTTCTGGGCATACTTTTTTAAAGGGAGATACCCTTTACCCTACATTTTTGCTTTATTTACAAGGATTCCCCCTGAGGCATGAACAGTATCATACCATGGATCCATACGGATACTGCCTTACTTGGATCCTCTAGGTGTTATCACAATTCCTGTTAACACACACATACAGAGTACAGCCAAAAATCATCACGTGCAATGTGCCTCTTGCTACGAAGTTGCCTTCCCTGCCGCAGTTTCTGTTTCTCCTCATTCTATCTGATCACTCGCTTTCTAACTTGTTGCTCCCCTCTCAGTAACTTTGCTGAGAATATTCCTGTTTTGAAATGATGTGCCAGACGTATACTAAGAATCCTGATCATACTTTCAGCTTTTGGACTGCAGTGCCCTCAAGGAACCCAACACAGTAATTAAATGAAAAAATACTAGTTTTTGTTCTAGTCCACTCTACAAGACCACAATATGATATTTGGTCGCCTTTTATTCAATACAACTTTCTTTTTTGTGAAGTCAGTGCATCTAAGTTCATTTAAAACAATTTTGAATTTGAAAATTATATACACGATAAATATTTATTTTTCCTTATGAATCCAATGACTCCAAACAGCAAAGAAACATGACATTTCCCAGCTTTCACAGAAAATCAGGCTACTTTGGAAATTCAGCACAAAATGAAAAGTCTGCTGAGTTCCTGCTCTTTACTTTATGTTGTCAACAGAGCTTGCGCAGCCGCCTTAGTTAAATGCATGCAGGTTTTGCTGATTATTTTATTATTTATTTATTAGGGGGGGGCAGGCTTGGCCTACTCCATCTTACAAGAAAACATGCAGCACTGCACGGTACCAAGTTACAACACGCCTCATGTAACAGCACATTCACAAGACCAAGGAACTCTGTTCTTTTCCTCCTGTTCCTACTAAACCCTCAGCTGCAAGTTTGGAGGCAATTCACAAAGAGGCTCAATAAAATGAAACTTTTAGGGCCAGATTCAGCTCCCTGAACAACAGCAGAGGGTTTCTGGCGACACATCGAGGCTTTACCCAGCGCCCCTCAGGGTTATTCCAAACAGCAAATAGCTTCTGCAATCCAGGGCTGAGTAACTTGGAGCTGCCAAGAGCTTTTGCAGCAACCATTGCTATATTTGAGCTTGCTCTTTTCCCATTTTGCCCTTCTCCTTCCCCACAGCTGCTCCTTTTCCCATGCCCTGAGCGATTCCCTTGCAGAGTTGGGAGCGAGCGTCTCGCGGGGAGAGCGTTACCTGCGGAGGTGCTGTGTATTTCCTGTCCTGCGGACTCCACATCCTGTGCAAGGAATCTAGGGAATTCTCCGAGAGCTGATGGGATTTTCGGCCCGCGTGACGCCCTTTCAGCTCCACATCCTCATACGGGTTTTCCTTGGGTGACTCGCCTTCACATTTTTTTAAAAAGAAAAACAGACAGGAATGTATAAAAAAAAAAATCATGTGAACTAAGTGAAAGGCTTTTACAAAGCTCCTCAGTTTTCAGCATGACTCATCCCTCTAGCTGCAGCTGGAAGTATTTGGATTAAGACTTGGCTATGAGGTCAACAAGTTTCTTTTTTCTTTTTTTCCTTTTTAATAAAATGCAAAGATTTCACAAGACGTGCTTCTGAGCATCCGCAGCTGTGCATAATTTATTGATATATAAAAACAAAGACACCTAACTACTTTAAAGTATATCAGTAGATTTTATAAAGCTACAGCAGCCGCTCACAAGGTGAATGCACGGCACTAGTAACTGTTCTCAACACACCACCTTACACAAGGCAAGGCAGCTTTCACTTGACGCTACCTTCGTTCTTCCCTTCCCCCTAGAGAAGAAAGAATAAATGCTTCAAGTCAGCAGTGTCAAGAGAGCAGATTGGGAAATGGGAAGGATGAGGTAACAATTTTTGCATGGACCGTAATGTGTCCTCCAAGTGTTCTTTAGAAGTCCTTCATGCTTTCTAATTAAGCAGCTATCCAGTTCAATTTGCCTAGAACCAATAGCTCCCAAAAGGCTATTCATCTAGCCAGTGATACATGGACACTTCAGTAGTCAATCCCTAAACATGAGGTAAATGAAAAAAAAACCAAAACAAACAAACAAAAAAACCCAACTAGAAACAGACTGCAGCCTTAAAACTGTTAGTGTTTGAAAACCAGAACCAAATTTTATAACCTAGATTAACCTATGAGATCTAATATCCGTTGGTAGCCATTTCTGTATCTTCTGAATCCACTAATCTTCTCACTAGACTAAGAAACATGAAGACGAACAAACATCAGTAAATAGAAAAATCTGTATCCATAGAGAATCATCCCCACAAAGTGACCTACTCAAATTCAAGCCTGCAACATGCAGAACCTTGAGAAATGCAGGAAGTTCAAAGCTTCTGAATCGCTTGCTTTTGTTTTTATATCTATTGACGACCCTAAAACATGGTTTTAGCAAAATATACACAACAATTCAAGCTATTAAATATGAATTCTAAGAGAAATGCAGTTGTATTACATATTGTATTAACTGAGAGTTGATGACAAAAGTATAGCATGCTTTATTATTCACAATAATTATGTTATAAAAACTGTTCATCCCCTTTAAATGATGGACAACTGAGCGACAGATCTTTCCAGTGACAGTAGGCTCTGGATTAAAACCTAGTACGCTTGACTATCCTATTTTTGTTGTTCTAGACAGAATGTTTCACTTCCTCTTTATACACAAGGAAACAGTTTGTGCTTCCCACTGCACTGCTCAGCCTGGAAGCGTGGGACTGCTAGATTCATTGATTACGGTGGCAAAAGCTTTTGCTTAGCAAGTTCACACACTCGCATGTTACAAGTATTGAGCAAAAATATAATTTTACTTCAGCAAGGAATCACATGAAGATTTTTAACCAGCTGTAAGCACAAGTGAACATTTTAGCATTGTTTTAATTAGAAAGCCTGAATAGCTGCTACTCTTGAGGAATGTTTGAGTTGGCAGTCAGAGCTCATTATCTCATCCAGAGGGAATCCAAATCTAGGGGCTGTGCTCTCACAGGCAGCCCATACACAGCATGGAAGGACGACCTTCAGGTGCAGAAAGTGCTTTCAGGAAAGGCCTTCTGAGGAAGGCAACCAACAGGATAAATCTACAGCAACAAATATTCCTGCAAAACACTTAAGCCACACAAGTCTTGGGAAGACCCCCCCTTCTGCAGAAAGAAAATAAAAGATAGACAATTGCACACTAATTCTATTACTTGCAAGCTCTAGAGCTCCAGATATGATAATCATAACAACAATAAAGAGTAAATGTTGCAAAACGCTTTTATGTACAGCTAATTGGACTGTAGCTAGCATAATAAAATTTCTTGTAAGCCCAAGTCAAGTATAGGTCAAGCGAGCATTTCAGAATGGATTAATAGATATCAAAATGCCCGACTACATTAGATAGCAGTTAAACATATGCTTCCTTGTGAAAACAAGTGTTATCTCTTTAAAATGTACAATACTTAAAAATTTTAGCTCAATTCCCTTTCCAAGATTCAATGTAAAATGAAATTGCTTGAACCCAGTTAAATTTGTAATAAAATAAAGGGAAGTCTTGGATGGAGAGGGAGAGAGCAGCAAGGGACCACGCACAGAGGCTGCTTTCTGGCTCGGATTCCCTACCAAAAGAATGCTCAGGCCAAATTCCTCTTCAGCGTAACATGAAGGTCAGTGGAGACATTCATGGAAGGAATGACCATTTGAGTTTCTTCAGAAGACCAGTTTACTGTTCCAGATATACAGCTTTATGCAGAATACTTCTATTTTTCTTTTTTTTTTTTTTTTGCTTAAAAACCTAATTCTTCCATTGATTTCTCATTTTGAAATGATGCCCTGAGACAGAACATGCTTCATTGCTTGAGTTTTTTAAATAATAACTCCTCTTCCCCCAAATCTCTGATGATGAAATAGCCCGATCAATCTGAAACAACTTGTTTCTTTCTGATTTGGTATTTGAACCAAGTTCCTCAGTTCCATCAGAGAATTAAAAGAGATCATTTATTGCCCAGGTCTTGAGCACTATTTTTTAGAATACATGTTCTGTCTGGTAAAAGAGACACTAGAGACCATAGATCCAAAAAGACGACCAATGAACACCGCTGCACTACTTATGGGGTGTCAAGAATAAGAAGGACAAGAGACAAGAAACCCAAGATGGCAAGCAAGCGCAAAAACTCCGCTGTGCCTCCCGCAGGCCCCAGGACCTGGGAACGGGTGGCCAGCAGCAGTTTGGGACCTGCAGCACAGTCAAGGAGAAACACCGTGCAGTACAGAGGCCTCGCCTGTCTTAATGAGGCTGATCTAACTAGTGCACCAGACAACAGCAGACTAGCCCTGACTTCAAAGAAAGCTGAATTAGATCCTGGAATGCATATGATTACACTCGGTATCACCCTCTTGGCAGATACTGTTTGTAATCACCATCCCTGCTTCCAGATCAGTTCTCCATAGCACTTTTGTTTCCCATTCTCTTGAATTCTACGTACCAAACTGCTGAGTTAACATGGAACATTTATCTGCAGGACATTTATCTTCAGAAGATCTCACAGGCAATGCAATGAATGGTCCACAGACGAAAGAGAAAAAAAGATAAAATAACCAGTGATCCTTAGAAAAGCCATGAGAAATGGAGTGCCTTGAGTGTAAGCATCAATGAATTTCCTCCGGCAGTTGCAATTTCTTGCGTTGTGCCACCCTGCAAGTCAGTGCCACCGAGTCTTGCTCCTCTGCTCAGCCTCTCACACGTGGCAAGTGGGAAGCAGAGACATCCTCCGCAAGCCTGTCCCACTCTGAGAAAGGAGTGAAAATTAAGATTGAGGAGAAAAAGAATAAAAAGTAAAATAAAAACAGGCAGACTCTTCTCTATAAATGGCAGAAATCAGGGAAACTAATTATTTCTTTCTTGATGGGAGAATTATCAGAGTAACCAAGTAATTCACTGAACGCTGACTGTAACTACTGCCTTCTGCTCTACCATGAAGTGAAAAACCCAACAGATACACACTAAGGGGAAGGACTAACCATATTTGTCTTGACTGTTGGTGTCTAAATTAGGAGACAATGCTGCCAGAGAGCAGATACTGTCTCAAGAGAGTGATGCTGAATACCCAGGCTGACAGCCTGCAGCCTCTCCCCCAGCTGCATAGGAAGCCCAGGCTCCTGATCTGCATAACTTAGACAACGGAAGTGAGATGGTTTTAGCATCCAACCGTATGACCAGATCTATATGTCCTGTATGCAATGGCCTACACACAAAATATAGGGCAATTACCTTATTTTATATTAATAATGAATGAGGAGATCGAAGCTTCAGCTGCCAACCCAGAAGAGGATTAGGAGGAAGCCTGTATGCCCAGAAGCAAGGGGTGCAAATAGTGGTAATACATGGGTAGGAAAAAGGGCATGAAGAGGGGAATTGAGACCGAATAAGAGACAAATAAAAGTACCAAAATGAACGCTCTGTAAGTAATTTTAATGCTTGTGGCATCCCTCTCCTAAACATTTTGCAGGTTTCTGTAACATCAGACACACAGGATGACAGCAGCTCCTTTCCCAAACAATCCCCCTGATGCCATCACCAAATTCTCCAAGGATCTTTTTCATGCCCTGCCCATGATCTCTATTAAACTGCAGATAGAGTGCAATGTGGGCAGTTCCTGCACCCCTAGCGCACACAAGCCCTTATAGAAGGTTAAGGTAAAGCACAACTGGGCACACAGGGAGCAAGCAGAGACAGGTGCTTGGGGAATTATGCTTTTGCCACTGAAGACCAAGTGATGGGAATAGACCTGGGAGTGTTTCTACTGCATGAGACAACAGTTTGGGATTTGCACATTATGTAGATTTACAGCCCCCTGGCATTGCTGGCCCGCTTTTGTCTAAAGAGGTGCTCAATGGTGAGAATCCAGGTGCATTCTGTGTCTGCATTACTCGTTTATTCATAAAATTACATAAACACAAATCCACAGCACCAGTGCTGGGGGGAAAGAGCCATTGGAATGTTTTATGAGCATGTTCAGATCAAATAGATAAAACCCACAAAATCTCCACACTCTTATAAAGTATCTGAACTTAGATCTTTAGCACCTAGATGAGTTCTTTCAACACCAGAGAAGCTGCGTCAGTGAAGTTGAGGAATTTACACCAGGAATCTGTAGAGACAGGAACTACATGCATATCAAAATACAGCGAAGACAAAATGTAGCTGCTCTGAAAAGCTATTCCTGAACGGAAATAAGGTACAGATCGTTATCTGCGTATAATCCTACCACCCAGTAGGTCAGATCAGTACCAAATTCTCAGAGAGGACGTACAGCACCTGCAGCTCACAACAAGGTCTCAGATGCAATTGGCCTTTAGAGCCCTGCTCCAT